AAGCATAGCATACCATTGGACTCAAGAGATGGCTGCAGCTCACCAGCCAGAATACTAATGTTGAAAATAGGCTCCCCCAGTCTGTGTTTTTTCTTTGCTACACATAATGAGCTGACCTCCATATCTTTTTCATGGACTCTTGCCTTGCTGCTGCCCACCTTGTACTTGTACAACTTGGCCATCGATTTGTATTTGTGGGCAATGCATGTGACCAGAGCTTGTTCTGCTGTAGGGAGCTGTATACTCCCTGAGGCTGGAACAGGAATCTGTCACTAAATTTTGCAGGCCCCTATGACAAACCCATTTTGGAATTTTTCCTGCTTGTGTCCTCATGTTTCCTCTCAACCCCTGTTGCCTTTGGAGTTTCTACCAACCTTCAGCTTGTCACTCAGTCATCAAAATGCTGATCCAGAAATTCTGCATTTGTGCAGAGTCACCTGGAATTCAACAGCCATGCCACTGCTCAGCCATGTCACCAGTCATCCATGCCACTTATCTGGTTTCCCCTGTTGCCCTAAATTCTGCAAGCTGGACTTCATGTCAGTATGCTATGCTCTGCCCTCCTGTGCCACTCAGCTCCACCTCCCACTGGTATGCATACTCTCGTTCTGTTGGAAGATACCCCTTACCATTGTCCTGTTCTTACTCTCATCTACTACCCACCAGACTATTTCATGTGCATCTGTATTTTGCTGATGCCTGATGTCCATTCCTTTATTTTCTGGTCTTTTAGTTTTTCTGCCCCACCTTACTCTGACTTGTACCTACTTCCCTTATACTATATAATTCTGCCAGGATGTCAGAAATAGACCACCCATCTTTTGGAGTCACTATCTGAGTCATTCGCATGTCTAGGTGTTCAAAGTGTCTGCTGCATACTCTGCATCTACTGTGCCTTCTGCATTTCTGTGTCTCACCTCCATGTCTCACAAGTCTCAGAAATACTTCTTTGTGCCAAGGTCATCATTTGGAATTTCACAAACAAGTCTACTCATACCCAATTCACCTACAACTCTGCAGAATTATGTTCCATGCCCCACATTCAACTCCTTGATTGACTCTACTATCATATTCTACATCTCCTTCCTACTCAGCACCCCTTGGGTCAAGCCTAGGGATTACCCTGCAGCTTCCCCCCCCCTAATCACACACTACCCAGAGGTAGTGTCCCACACCACATGAAAGATGTTGTGTTATGTGTGCACCACATTGAGAAGGAGAAGTGCCTCATGATTCAGCTGACTCTCTGATTCATGCTGCAGATTGAAAACCTATCAATGAGTGGTTATTAGGAAGGAAAAAAAGAACTTACTGTGTGAGTGGATGACTCCAATATTCCATACATCTCAGCTAAGACACCAGTTGTCTCCACTTTGACCTTGGCACTGCTAGAGGGGCTGTTTCAGGAAGAGAACCTGCCATCACAAGGCTTATGGGGCAGTCCTTTGCTGCCCAGGCAACACTCAACTGTGGGCATGGTCAATCCAGCATGAAGGTGTGTGTGATTAAGGTTATAAACAGACATGAGTGACTATGTTCTTGAATGGGATGTGATTGGGTAGTATATGAGAAATACACTCCATAGTGATCTGAACAACATCCTGATTTGCACTGAAGTGATAATCACATAACACAGAATTGGCCTGCCTGACCATCTAGCATATGCCCTGCTGTCCAAGTTGTGGTAAAGGCAGCTTCCAGAGTCACAGCACTGTCACAATGCACATGAGCCAGCTGTCCTCTGGGTGCAATACCTGGGTCAATAACTTAGTCCACCTTCACAAGTCTCTCCAACCTTCGAGCTTGAACATTCATAACTCTCAACACCCAACACACTTAGAAGATGTCCCAATGAGCACCAACCCCAATGACTATGCAACTCACAATTACCTGGATTTTGTTCATATGGCATTTGACATGTGGGGACCAACCACAGATGACTTCAAGGGTGCAGCTAAAATGTTTGGACTTGGCCCTACATTTATGGACAAATTTAACCACAACCAGTTCAGCAACCTACAGGCATCAAATCTGTACTACCCCTTCAACTCCCACAATGAATGGGAGCTGGCATCATGGTTACTTCATTCAGGCCTGAGCATGAGAGCTATAGACTCTTTCTTGTCATTGTCAATTGTAAGCCTGTCCCTATTCTCTCTGAAGATCATTATTGATGTGTGCCAGATACAGCTACTAAATATTTCCTTTCATACAGCCAGAGCACTTCATGGGCTGTCTGAGTTACTCCCTGGTGGGCTGCGCTGGCACTCAATGGAGATTACTGCTTCGCAGCCAACCAAACACCCTGTGCACTTGTACTGGCACAATCCTCTGGAACGCATTGCATGGCTCCTCAACCACCCTTTGTTCTCTGACCAGCTCGATTTCATTCTGAGGTGTGTATACAAAATGCCCAAGAAGCTTTGTAGGGTGTATACAGAGTGGACAACCACTGATGATGCTTGGTGTATGCAGGTATGTTTCCACTGTGAGTTATAGATCCTTTTATTCAATTGACATACCCCAGTCACAGCTTCTGAGCAGAGCAACTCTTCTTGGCACAATACTTTCTTCAGACAAGATGAATATTACTACTTTATGTGGTGGCAGAGTTGCTCATCCACCTCTCATCAGCCTAGCAAACATCAAGATGTCCACATGCCTAAAATTGTCATCCAACTCATTTATGCTCACCACTCTCCCTCCCATCCCCAAGTTCATGCACAAGAACAAGCATATGCATGGCCTCCTCAAAGATAGGCTCATTCATGAATGCCTGGATATTGTACTTGAACCCATCAAGCAAGCTGCCAAACTCAGCATTATGTTACCAGATTCTTTGGGGCACATGCAGTACTGTTTCATGCCAATCGCAGGTTATATTGCTGACACTCCCAAGGCTGCCATGCTTGCAGCTGTTGGGGGAAAGACTTCCCTGATCACTATGGCAATGTACAAACAGTTCGGAGACCCATTCCAACATGAGCCACAAACCACATCCACCACTTTGGCTCAGCTCACAGCAGTGAAATCAAAGGTCCACCCTACAAACATTCAAGTCTTCTTTCACGAAGCACAGCACTTTTGCCTCAGCAGAGTTAGTGACCCATTTTGGAGGGACATTCCACTTTCTTGTCCAAGCACTTTTATAACTCTGGAGCCCCTTCACCACCTGCACAAGGAATTTTGGGACCACAACATGAAGTGGTGCATAAATGTGGTTGGTGAAGCCAAAATTGACTTTCACTTCTCAGTTTTACAGCCTACTGTGGGGTTCTGTCACTTTAAAGGTGGTGTTGCTAAGCTGAAGCAGGTGACTGGATGCATGCACTGTGATGTCCAACATTACATCATCAGTGTTATTGCTGGAGAAGCCCCTCCCAAAATTATTACTGCTATTTGTGCACTCATGGACTTCTGATACTGAGTCCAAGCTTACTGCATTGATGACAATGATCTTCATATAATATCTTCTGCACTGGACAGGTTTCATGTGCACAAGCAGTTGATACTTGATCATGGTGCACAATGCGGTAAGGGAAACAAGCCCATTGACAATTGGCACATCCCCAAGTTAGAACTCATGCAGAGCATCATACCAAGTGTGAAGCATGTCAGGGTCACCATCCAATGGACTGCTGATGTGACTGAACATGCCCATGTATTGGAGATCAAGACACCCACATCAGCTAGCAATAACAATAACTATGATCCTCAAATTTGCCAGTACCTCAATTGCACTGAAAAATGTAGGATATTTGACTCATGACATCATTATATGAATTGAAGACTCACTCCCATGGTCATGCAGAAGAAAAGTCCTTGGAGGTTGAGGATGGGAGTTCTGATGATGGTGACAGTGAGATCAGTGATTGTGAGGAGGTGAATCTAGTTTCCAAGATGCCAGGTCCCACATGGCCCATCACTGATTACTTTGCCATCTCTGCACACTTCAGGACCCAGGATCCAGACTCCATTCCCTTCCCCTTGCATAGTTTTATCACAGACAGTACAGTGATCAACCTTTCCTATGACCCACCCTTGTGATGCATTAGTGTTGATGGTGCTGCCAAGAAGTTTGGACTACTTGACCTCCAAGCCACCCTTGTCAATTTTCTAAATCATGAGAAGGTGTATGGACCAAGCTCTGTGCACACTATAAGCAGGCAACATTGGGGATCAAGCTCTTCAACCCTGCCTTTTACCGATCTGCAGGTTTGGTACAAGATGTGGCTGCAGAACATGGCAATACATGATATCATGGACATCCTCCCTGCCCAGACTCTCTTCTATTCTCCACCTTGTGAGACCTGGACCCTTGGCTGCTATGATGCAGCTATCATCAATGTGGACCCCCATTTCAAATGGCCAGAGAATGGCCTGAAAGGTTCATGGTCCACACTACTTTTCTGTGTCACTCACAAGAGTATCTTAGGTCATGTTGTTGGCCAGCTCCATCTCCTGATGTGCCCTTTTGGCAAGAGGGGCATAAGATGGTTGTGGACAGACCATTTTTTGGTCTATGTACAATGTTTTGACATAGCAGCTGAAGATGCGACACACCTACATATCCTTAGGCATGCAAAGAGAGTGAATGGACAACATCTTGGCAATGTCATCCTGCTCAGTCAGGTCTGGGCATTTGCACATCTCATACCTTGCTTCAGGCAAACTGCAGATAATTGATTGACAGCATACAACTCCTTCAAGCATTCTACCGAATTCTATCTCAATGAATACTTCAACAAAAATACATACTTTTCCCTAAGTCGTTTGGACTCTCCTCCCATCTAGTCAACATACATGTTGCCTTACTGTATACCAGTGCTTATTACCTGTTAATGTTGAAATGCATCAGTATTTTGAGTGGTGGCACCATTTTCGAACATGTGACCCTACTTGTCAACAACCCTCAGAAATGTCCAAAGACTTGAACAAAAACAGATATTGAACAATAGATGGTACCTACGAGCTGATTGGTTCTCTCCCCCTGCCCAAACATGGCCACACAGTTCATGTTATGGACAAGTTCACTGCTTCAGAACTTGAGGGCACCATCATCTGTGAACCACAGATACAAGTTAGCTCTCCTCAGAGCCTCAGTTATGTTACAAATATTATCTTTGAGTCCTTCAGAGATACATTCACCTCCATAGCTCCCAGGTCCCTGATTGTCCCTCTGAAAACAATTCCTGCATGTGTCTGTAGCTATTCTGCCTCCTTCAACCAGGGTGGCTTGTCAGAGGACAGCCTGGTCAGCCTATACAACAATGATAGAAAGTGCTGGAACTGGGAGCTTTGTCCACCCCCAGGCTCTGATTCACCTCCCAAGCAACCTGGGCCACTTGCCTCAGAGCTGCTGGTAGAATCAGAAAAGCTCTGCTTTGAAAAGCAAGTTGCTCTGTTTCTCAATGCTATCAGAACTGCTGCCAAATCCATGATGCTCAGTCTATCCAGAAAACCCCAGCATCAATGGATGGCAGACTGGAGCAGAACCAGCTTGCGAGGTTCTACAGGTTATTCCCAAAAGCCCAGCCTCATCCTTGTTGATAACACCCCAGTATCCCTCAATGAGATTACATGGTTAAGTCCCAAAGTCATTGCCAAGTACTCAAAGGAGTCTTTCAAGCCAGCATCCTACCTTGGGAAGATGATGGACACTAAGGCATATCCAACCCTTGTCGACCAGCCCTGGAGGTGCTATGTCCTTGGATTATCAATTACTGATAGTGAACTTCTTCAACTTCACTTTTACGACCACTCTGGTGGTGCAATCTCACCCTCTATCAATATCCACACTGACACAGAAGTCTTCATATACATTGTATGTGCTGTTGCATTCAGCTTCCACTCAACCCTTGGCTTCAATTCAACCATAGAGATATCTCCCCATCCTGCACACAGCTGCAAATGCACAGCACTTACAATACCTCTCTCCCCTTTCCCCTCTCCTACAATGCCTTCTCCTCACTTGGAGTCAGGCATCCTCCCCAGTGCAAACTCACTCCTGACTCCCACATCACCCAATCACATCCCAGCAATCAGGAGGATCCAAGTAAACAAGACCTTCTACAAGGTGCTTGATGTATTATTCTCAAGCACAGGCTTTCTAGGAAGGGGCACTGTTTGTTACATTGCATGCTACAATGGGGAATACTATGTCATCAAGGATTATTGGGTGGAGAAGTCAGAGCAGAGGACAGCCCTGCATGAAGTCAACATGATGAAGCTGGTCCAGGACATTGACAGAGTTCCCAAGTTGCAACACTACTGGGTCATCAAGGTCAAGCTGGGCATTGTTGATAAAACTGAATGATATCATGATGAGAAGTGGTGATTGTGCATGAAGTCTTGCAGAACTCACATGTGATTGGCTATGAAGCTGTGTGCAAGGCCAATGGTAATGTTCAAGACAAAAAAGGAACTCATTTCATGCATCCAAGATATTTTACGAAGTACATATCCTCTTCCACTTGTAAATCAATACTAATTGCTTTAACAGTCCAACAGCAGGCTCTCAAGAGGGGTGTCCTCCATCGAGATTGTAGCATCAACAATACAATGATCGAGGACTTTGCAAATGGGTCACATGGCTTTCTCCTTGACTGGGAATTTGCTGTATGGGTCATGTTACAGGGGGAATATGACTTGGGCAGCACAGTAAGTACTATGCAAAACATTTTGGAACTCGAAGCTGATAGTATGCAAAGGGGACAGTCCCCTTCTTTTCAGTGAATATCCTTTGCCAGCTCAAGGAAGCCATCACTAAAAGTGGAAAGACTAATGTCCCATCAATCCAGAAAAGCACCTCTCTCACCCATGTATTCATTAATCACCCTACTACTATACACCATACATTTGCAGATGATATTGAATCCCTGTTCTACATTTTCATCTGGATCCTCATCCTTTATGATGGGCCACTTGGCCACAAGTGTCAAGCTATCAGCCATGAAAAGACACTTCTTGGCTTGTGGAGTGAAAAGGCAGCTGAAGATCTCAAAATTGCCAGATGCGCCAAGTTCACATTCCTCAATGACCTGTCTGAATTGAGGCTGGATTCAGAGGTCTCACAATATTTTCAAGATCTAATCCCTCTGGCTAACGAGTGGAGCATATTGCTTGGGCAGTCCCTGCTGAGTGGAACTGCAGTGCAGTTCTCTGACATTATCTCCCTTTTTGATTGTTTCTTGGCCAGCATGCCATATGAGAAACCACTGGAGATGATGAATGCATTCCAGCAGATCATTGCCCAGCACAAAGTGCTTAATTCAAGCATGCATCTGAGTCAGGAGAATGATATGGATGTTATGTCTTCAGCAATTATGTCTTCTAAATGCCTTTGTGAAGAGGTAAGGAGCATGGATAATGCTCCTATACCTAATAAATGCTTCAAAGGCATGTAGTCTTAGCATGAATTTTATGTTTAGTTCATGTTCTGTATGTTACATGTAAAGTGTTTCAATTCATTTGCAGTGGGTAACCATCTCCATGTGTCATTTTGTTTTACATCTCATGATGAACCTGTCAACATTTATATGGACTCACAAGATGTCATTTTGTTGTGGTCCCCAGGCTTCCATCTTATACTGTTCTCTGCTTAACTGCTTGCACCTTCAGATGTCCACCCAATCTGGAACAATCCTGCCAAAAAAGAAGGATAGCAAAAAAGCCAAATGATGACCAGAGGCTGACAGAAGCACTCAACCCACAAAAAACAAGTGTCTAGGAAGCCCACCCATCGATCTTGAAGAGTCTCAGTCGGTTGCCACAGCAGGACTCTGTCATAGTGGAAGGGCAGGGGCAGGTTCAGGTGGAAGGGCTGAGCAATTGGAGTGGATTGGTACTGCCCTTGAAGACTGAGCTACACAGCCACAAAAGTTGACAGATCTCCCCAACAATTCTGTTGTAAATCCTCTTGCACCTCTGCCCACTTGGTGGAAAAAGGGTGGGGGCCACAGTGCTGGCCAGAATGCAAAACCAAAGGTCAGTTCTAGTTATTTGCAAATATCAAGCTAACCACTTGCAAAGTCCAATGTTGCCCCACCACCCTATGTGCCTCCCATTGTGAATGATCCTAGCCCAGCTGATATGCCTCCAGTGAGTGTCTTTTCATACTGATATACAATGTTCATTTCAGAATCCTGTCCCTCAGTCTTCAACAGCAGTAGCAACACCTGTCTTCCATCAGCACCCCACAGACTCCCATCACTTTTGTTTCAGTGTTCCAGCTCAACAGCCAGGTCATATCATGCCTCCTGGGATGGAACCTGACCTTCAAGTGCTCAATAATCCTTATATCACTTCAATTCAGGGAGACCAAGTTCCCAGTAATACATCTCATCTGCCAACACCCCAGCCCAACTACCAGTCTCGGTTTATCCCCCACCAGCCACCTGCTACCATCCCCGACTCTTGTGTCAACCCCTCCCTTGATAGCTTGCTCTCATTGAGACAAACTTCAGTAACCACTGATGTTTGCCACAAGAGTTCAGAGAAGCTGTCATCAGAGGGCTCCTCAGAAGAGGAGCCAGAGTCCTCGAGTAATAACCCATCAGACACAGAGGCTGGCAAGGTCTCCAGCAATGAGTCCAACAAAGATGAGGACAATGCATTTGGATGAGGTGCAACAAATCTTAGGCAATCAACTCATCCTGGTACTCATCAGAGGTTATTATGGTATTGGCTCAACATTCTTTGTTAGGCTTCTCCCAAGAAATGACGACAAGCAATCCTATTCACCACAATTCCTTACCCCCTGACCATGAGTTTCAGTACTCATGTGACAAGGATGACAATGTGGCTCTGCAAAGCTTACAATCCAAGGACAAGGCTCAGCCAGAGGTATGAAAATGCCATTCCTGCTAGCCTTATTTATTCATATTGTTATTTTAGGGTTCCCAACATGGCACTGTCATTGATGTTCTTGAATGCAACCATTGCACTAATGGCCATCCTTCTGTTCCCAATCGTGATCTTCTGACCCTTGTGCATGACTTGGTCAATGAAGTATCTCAGCATGCCAGAGCCCCTCATAACTCCAAGAAAGCTAAGGATGAGGGTCCATTGCCTTCACAACTGAGATTTTACAAGGCAGTATGGAAGGACTGTCTCAAAGATGCTAAGTGAGAATGCAGGGCTGCACATGCACTTTCTAACCCATTCCCATCGAAATCTCATGACCTCAACCTCTCCATAACGGAGGCACTCATCACTGTTGTCATTGAGTGGAATCAATGTGGCATGCAATTTGAAGATGGTGAGTAACAATATTTTCACTTTATATGTGTCTTGTTATCCTAACTTTATAGGTTACTGGCCTGACCACAAGCAAGATATGGTGTGCCTCATAAGTAGTCCTGTCTTTCAGTTACAGCTACTGAAATACTGCCAGTAGCTCCTTGGTGATATATCTACCTGGCATTCAGAATTGAAGTTGGTTATGCTGGCAACCATGCCATCTGTGTTCAACTTTATCCCTCCTTCTGATGTTGCACCATGGGTTTGTGTACAATGGACAGAGACTGCTGCTGCAAAGCTCCTTGAAAACTTGCTTTTCCTGTGAGATGGTTTGACAAAAATGTATGTTCACACAGTTTGTTGTCTGCACTACTAATGGATTGGTTTATCAGGGAAAAACCAGGAATTTTGCTCACCCCACCCTCAAGGAAGCTGTCATACAATTCTACTATACCAGGACCTATCAAATTGCAGATAAGAGTCCTGAGTCCTTCAACAATTCAGTTCCCCTTTCCTGTCTGGCTCTTGTTGCAGCCATGGTAAGTTATTTTACACCCCAAGTCACTGCAACTCAAACTTTTCTTGCAGTATCATTGTGTGTTGGATGGATTTGCGAAGAACAGCACAGGAGAGATGATGCCTCAATTCTCTGGCAAGGCTTACAATTCCATTTTCCATGGCATGATGAAGGTGATGAATGACATCCTTTGTAATCCCTATCATGGTGTGAGGTTGTGCAATCAGCTTTCTCAGTGGGTGAAGGAAGGATGGTAAGTACGGTACCAGCACATTCAGGCAGTCCTTGATTGATTTCATAATACCTAGTCCTGTCATACCTGTCATTACATGTAGTATGCAATTGATGCCAATGCTCCTGTTCCTGTCATACCTGCTGTGAACTGTGCTTAGTTGTGGAGTGATCACATGTTTGCAAAGTAAACATTGAGATGGGGAGTACTGGACAACACCCCAAGGAGAATACAGTCTGGCCATTTTTGTACAGTGATATCTAAGCATGAAAGTTCCATAGCAATCCATAGTAAGTAAGATACTGGACAAAGTTCCATGACAATGTGACCATTCCATAGTAACAGGCAACTAGCCATAGCAAAAAGTGTTGTTGGGTGCATCTGTCCAGCCTGGACCTAGCTAGGGGACTCTGTATTATAGAGCACTGTGGGGAGCTCCACAGCTCAAAGTGATTTACTGATGCAGTAGCCTTTTCACATCTGCCAGACCTTGGTATCTAGCTTGGTTAGTGCCATTGTCTAGTGAGAGCATTGGGGTTAGCACTGAGCTTACCTGAGTGGAAATGAATGAAAAGGTTGAACTGTGACAGGTATTTGGACCACTGGGCTTTCCAGCATGTGAGTACCTTGGATGTTGAGAAGTATTCTGGGTTTTTGTGGTCAGTGACCACCTCAATGGGTAGAGGGGCACCCTCCAAGTAGTGTCTCCAGGCCCAGAAGGCCTCAAAGATAGCAAGTAGCTCCTTATCATGGGTGTCATAGTTGAGTTCTGGCACAGACAGTGTCCAGGAGTAAAAGGTGACCAGGCAAAGTTGGTTGTCTTTGCCAGTAATGGACAGTATGCCAGTGATGGCATAGTCTGAAGCATCAGTTTCCACTGTGAGTTGAGCACTGTGAATGAAGTGAGTAAGGATAGGAGTGGTGGTGAAAGCTTCTTTGAGCACATTGAAGGCTGATTGGCACTCCTCAGAGAAGTTCCAGGGTATGTTTTTTTGTGTGAGGTGGGTCAAGGGGACAATGATGTCTGAGTAGTTGTAGATGAAACATCAGTAGAAGTTGGTGAAGCCTAGAAAGGACTGGATGTCTTTGACCTTCCAGGGCTCAGGCCAGTCACAGATGGCTTTGATCTTTTTGCCAGACATTGTGAGACTGGTTGGTGAAAGACAGTAGCCTAGGTATTCTACTGACTTGGAGTGGAACTCACATTTTTCTGGTTTGGCATACAGGCCATGCTTCCAGAGTCAGCACAGAACCTCTTTAACATGCTGCTGGTGCGAGTTCTTGTCATTGGAGTAGATGAGTATGTTGTCCAGGTAGACCAAGATGCATATGTCGAGGAGGTCAGCAAATACCATGTTGATGAACCATTGGAATGCTGCCAGAGCATTGGATAGACCAAAAGGCAGGGCAAGCCATTCAAAGGACCTATACCAAGTGTGGAACATGGTTTTCCATTCATCATCATCATCATCATCATCAGCAGCAATCTGGACCAGATGGTACAGTGGCTCATAAAATTGTCCCAATGTGTGCATGTTTTTCATTAATCATGGTGTAGTGAGTGAACTATCAGTATTGAGTCCAAGGTGTTTGTGGATGGATTAAAGCAGCTGGCCATGGCTCTCTGATGAGCCATATTACATAATATTTGGATAGAAACTGATCACAGAATACCCAAATGAAAATGAGAGCTCATTGGGACAATTATGTAACTTTGTGATATACTGGAGATGTAGTCCTTGGGAACACATATAAAACATGGTGGGATGCTCACCAATGCTTACATAATGTATTACATGGTCTACTGAATGATTTGTCAACATACAAACAATGCCAAACAGTGATTTTGCACCCCTAAGCCTCCTTGCTCTAACACAAGTTAAGAAATCACCATTCTGGCTCATCAGAGACATACTCTCAGGGCAACCTCAGCAAATGCTAGTGTACACTATAGTATAATCAATAGAATATGCTATCAGCACCATTGGTCTCTTCAGAAACCTGCTGGAATTCATTTCCTGCACTGTTTCCCCACCAAAGTCCCATGTGTCCTGGAATTAATCAGTACTGTGAGAGCTGAGAATGATGTGGAGGTCCAATCTGGCATTCATCCTATCATAAACAAACCAATCACCCATTAACTAGTGCATTTATGTGAAGGGGAAACTAGTATGGAGGTCAGGGTGAAGCTACAGTAAATCCTCTCTCACTCCAAGTACCATGGGAGGGATATGCTACTGAGCTACCAAGTTGCACATTGCTGGCCTTCTATCTGGCACTGGATATTTCCTTTAGTCATATATCATCAAATAACTCCTTCCCAGTGATCCCAGTTCAGCTCAGAGTACAGTCTGGCCAACCCCCCCATGATACTGGGGGAGTGCCCAGGAGGGTTGTGCTTCACCTGAGCATTCAGGCAGGCTTTTCTTCAGCTGTGATGTAGTAGTTAGTGGGTGATTGGTTTGTTTATGATAGGATGAATGCCAGATTGGACCTCCACATCATTCTCAGCTCTCACAGTACTGATTAATTCCAGGACACATGGGACTTTGGTGGGGAACAGTGCAGGAAATGAATTCCAGCAGGTTTCTGAAGAGACCAATGGTGCTGATAGCATATTCTATTGATTATACTATAGTGTACACTAGCATTTGCTGAGGTTGCCCTGAGAGTATGTCTCTGATGAGCCAGAATGGTGATTTCTTAACTTGTGTTAGAGCAAGGAGGCTTAGGGGTGCAAAATCACTGTTTGGCATTGTTTGTATGTTGACAAATCATTCAGTAGACCATGTAATACATTATGTAAGCATTGGTGAGCATCCCACCATGTTTTATATGTGTTCCCAAGGACTACATCTCCAGTATATCACAAAGTTACATAATTGTCCCAATGAGCTCTCATTTTCATTTGGGTATTCTGTGATCAGTTTCTATCCAAATATTATGTAATATGGCTCATCAGAGAGCCATGGCCAGCTGCTTTAATCCATCCACAAACACCTTGACTCAATACTGATAGTTCACTCACTACACCATGATTAATGAAAAACATGCACACATTGGGACAATTTTGTGAGCCACTGTATGTGTGCCTGAGGTCAATTTTGGTGTAGATCTTGGCCTTGGATGGCAAGTCCAGGAGGTTGGTGATGAGGGGGAGTGGGTATTGGTCCTTTTTGGTGATCTTGTTCAAGCCCCAGAAGTTGACACAAAGCTGAAGGGAGCCATCCTTTGTCTTGACAAAGAGGACCAGTGCTCTGTGAGGGGAAGAGGTAGGTTGGATGAACCCAGTAGCCAGATGCTCATCTAGGAAGGCCTGGAAAGCTTCAAGCTCTACCAGTGATAGGGAGTAGATAGGGCCAAGGGGCAGTGATGTGTCTCCTTCCAGCTTGATCTTAAGATTGTGTTCTTGGTGGCATGCCCAAGTTGGCTTTGGATTTACTGAACATGTCAGTGTACTCATGATACTCTGGTGGAATGCCAGAGAGGTTCAGTGCATCTTCCACTTTTGAAGACCAAAGGGAGGTGAGAGCTGAGGGATGGAGCTAGAGGCTGAACTGAAAAGACCCTTCAAGTTTGCATGCCTGGACATAGGCCATGGCATTGATGAAGGCAATGGGTGGGCAAGTCAAGCCTGGTGCAACCAGTTTCTCTAATTGTGGGGTCAGATGCTCATTAGAGCCAAAAATGGTTGGTCCAGGAGCCATAGGCTCAGGGTCAGGGGGTGACATCAGGGGGTCTGGCACTCATTGTGTAGGCATCTGGAATCTAATACTGCTTGAGACCCAGCCAATTGATGGATTGTGTTGGGTGAGCCAGTTGTATCCTAAGACTGCCTTGCATTTGGAGTCCAGCAGGGTTGCATAGAGGGTGACCAGGGTTGCATTGCCAGAGGGAAAAATGAAGATGAGGTCTGCTGCCTGGGTGATGACAGAGTTGGAAGTGCCATTAAACAGCCAGAGCTGGACTGGCAGGACAGAGTAAAGGGGAACAGAGATTTTATTTGCAAATTTTGTATCTATGAAACAGTGTGTAGAGCCAGAGTTGATGAGTACCAGGAACATTGGCTTGTCATAGGATGCTAAAGAAATGGTAGTCATAAGACTATTCGGGTTGCAAAGAGCAGACAGATTGAGCTTAACTTCCAAGAGCACACCACCAGAGTCAACACAGTCCTCAGGGTATGTGAGGTTCTGATGACCACCAACTATTTTTTTTGCCTTGGTGGAGGCCTCCAATGTGGCTTCCAGAGCTGCTGCAGCTGCTCTAGCTTTGGCCACCTTCTTGGGGTATTCCTTGGCTATGTGACCTTCCCCTCCACAGAACATGCAGAGCTTTAGGTCGAAGTGTCACTTTTACTTGGCAGCCATTAACCTTCCATCCTTGCTGAGCTTGTTGCTGGATAGCTTGGGCTTTGAAGACCCAGTGTTGGTACTGCCAGTCTTTGGTGCAGTGGGGGACTGGGAGGTGTTGGATGCCAAGGTTTTCCCCTTGTCAGTGTTTGAGTCTTTATTGCCAGTCTTTGACAAGTTCTGGTTACCAGAAGACCAGCTCTGGCATTGGACCTCCTTGTGTCATTCCAAGTAGCAGGTGTCTATGTCCTGGGCTAGATGGCAAAGGTCTTCAAGGGTGCAGGGTTTGCCTACCTGGTGTATCTCATCTTTGATTCAGTTGGGAAGACTGGCATAGAAGAAGTGGCAGAGAGCCCCATTGCCATAACCCCAGACCTGGGTAGCTAGCCTGCTGAACTCAACCATGTATTTGTTGATGCAGTGGTTGTCTTTCATGGTTAGGTGGTCAAGCTGGTTCTTGCCTTCCACTACTGGGTCATGGGGACTGAAGGTCAACTGGAGTTCAATTACAAACTCACACCAGTTGTCCATCCACAGGGGTGAATCCTCAGGTTTGCCAGTGAGGAGAAGGTCCAGCTTGAACCATTCAAGTGCCATTCCCTTGAGGTAGGATTGAGTGAAGGTCACCTTTTGGTCGTCATCATGGAATGTTTGGGGTTTGCTCTGGAAGGTCAGCTCACACTGGATGAGGCACTGCCAGAGCTTCTTTGGGTTTGTGCCATCAAAGGTGTCTGGCTCTCAGACCTTGGCCGATCCTGAGCTTCCTTCAGTGTCTCAGCAGGAAGACTGGGTGAGAG